GTTATGAAGACCATAAAAGGTAACAGATGGAGTTACATGACTATAAGTGGGTTGTCAGTAACATCTGTATGTCCCTGACAGCAAACCAGGCTGGAGCAGTGAGGAAGAGCGTAAGGGTCGGGGTTGTATGCTGCAGTTCCAGCATGCTCTGGTCCGAGTTCTCACACACTTTGTGGCAGAACAGTCAGGCCCTCGGGAGCCACAGGCCTTCTTCCTGGGCTCTGATTGGCAGGTGGATGTGACCAGGTTGGTGCAGTACTTCCTGAAGGTGGAGGACACTAATATTGCCCATCTGCAGGCAGGCAGGATTCTGTCAGGACAAGATGTGGGCACCACGTCTATAAAGGTAAAATTGAATCTGTTGAGTTTGGCTTACATACGACAAAAGTATTGGGCCAGGCCACACATAAATCAGTATTGATCTCATGCAGGCCTCAATAACCAGGTGTCTCCCTTTGTGTAGGTCCTTTCCCCGTTGTCAGACTCCATCCTGGCAGAGAAGATGGTGAGGGTTGTGGATGATCGAGTGACCATCACTGAATTGGGCCTGCAGTTGGTCAGTGGTCTCACACTCAGCCTGCAGCTCAGTACAGGAAGTAACCGAGTCATCAGCACCACGGCAACCACACAGGAAGTGCTCAGCAATCCTAAACAAGTAATTTAACAGCACTTACTTTAATCCTAACCAAAATTTGGGGCACCTATTAATGTCCAAAACACTGATTTGTCTGATTTTACAATTTTCAAACAATAAATATTTAATAAATTTAAACTGATACATTTGGTATATTTACATTTTAAACCTAAATAATTGGTAACAGGTTGGAAGTAAAAGGATTGCTAATTTAGCCATTAAAGGGGTCATCGGATGCCCATTTTCCACAGTTTGATATGATTCTTTAGGGTCTTAATGAAAAGTCTATAACATACTTTGGTTAAAATTTCTCAATGGTAGTGTAAAACAACACCCTTTTTACCCTGTCAAAAACAGCTCTGTTTATAGCAAGCCGTTTTTTTTGCATGTCTCTTTAAATGCAAATGAGCTCTGCGATTAAAATATTTTAACTCCGTTAACGCACTGGCCCCGCCCCCAGACCTGTACTTCATCTTACATTTCATACAGTTGCCTTTTTACAAATATTATGCAGGGCAACAACTCCATAAATTCAGTTATGCCCTAAAAATCAAGATACTGTTGCAAAAATGCTCCTGTATGAGTTTTTGTCTCATATTTATATCACATGATAAGCGATATTACACGAGCAGCGAGAGCAGTATCACACTGAGTGCTGTTTTTGTCTCTAATATAACAAGTGCATATGTGATTTTATACAACAGTTCAGTAAATAAGAAGTTAATATTGTGTTATATTTTAAACACAATATTGTCTGTTTTTGCTCAGTTTTGCCAACAACAATATTATCTATAAAGCCACAACAGAATTGTTGCGTGTCTCCGAGCAACACAGCGTGTTTAGTTTCTGAACGAATCCGCGGTTTGAACGAATCGTGTGAATCAATGATTCAAAGCCCCATTCATAAAATGAGCCGTTTACTGAATTTCTGAATGAATCAGCCGTTCGAAGGAATCGCATGAATGACTCATAAAGACATTTACCGCCACCTGCTGGCAGATTTAGTTTCTTATTTAGAGTATTATTTCATTAAAAAAATAATAATAATAAAAAAAACTTAAAGGGTTAATTCACCCAAAAATTTGTAATTATGTCATCATTTAGGCCTACTCAAACCTGAGTGACTTACTTTCTTTTGTGAAACAAAAATATTTTTAAAGACTGTTTTGGTTACCAATAACTTCCATTGCATAAACGAAAAACAAAACAAAACTGAGATGTTTCTCAAATTATCTTCTTTTATGTTCCATAGTTCATGTTGGGCCATTGTAGCCTAAACCTTTATGTGTAATAAATTGTATGTTGAATAAAATAAAATATATAAAGCTACTATTTGTAATGTCTTAATACTTTCTCATTTAACACAAAAATAGCATTAAATAATCTTTTGGGGTTATTTTCACACACAAATGTAATTTGTGGTTATTTTGATAAATTAATCAACACATCATGTAATTAATTACATAAAAAATTTTAATTGTCTGACAGCCCTAATATATATATATATATATATATTTGTGTTGTCACGATACCAACATTTCAGTCTGTAGTTGGTACCAAATTCTAGAACAATTTAATGGTTCACTCTATACCAATTTTGGTTCCATAGAAAGGAATAAAATAAAAAAATAGTAACATTTACAGTGTCCTTGCTACATGTTACATGTGCAAGACACAATACAGAACATGGCCAAATTCAATTTTATTCTTATTGCAGGAGGCAGTGTTGAGCTCCTGGCTGCAATTTAGCGATGGCTCCCTCACCCCACTGGACATTTATGATCCTACTCACTATCGCCTGGCTGTGACATCACTGGATGAGGGTGTGATCTCTGTGCAGGACTCACCTATAACTATAGTGGCAGAAGGTGAAGGCCAAGGAACACTGGTGAGAGCCGAGATGACCATTTGTGAGGTCTGTCAGAAATCCAAGCGCAAAAGCACTTTAGCTGTTGGCACTGGGAGCTTAACGGTAAAGTTCCAGACAAACAGCAAACGTCCTGACAATAGCAGCACCAACAATAATGACACGGGAAACAGCACAGGACTACTTGCTGGTGTCGCTGGGAAAGACAACAGCAGTAAGCGTGGTGATGAAGGAGAGGAGGCAGACTCTGAAAAGAAACTGCAGCAACCAGAACAGGTTTCAAGCAGAAATTCAGAGTCTGAGCGAGAGGAAAGTGCCTTGAAGATCACCACCACAGCCAAGTCGACAGCGCGAGACTCAACTGTTGGCAGCATTGCAAATAATTTGGGAATGGGACGGGCTAATGATGCCTCGGATGGAGTCAGTAAACCTGGGAATATTTTAAATAGTGGAAATTTTTTTAGTACAGGAAAAGCTGGCAACGATGGTCGAACAGGAATTTCCTGGAGTAGCAATGAGGTTCCTGAGGGTTCAGTGTTGAGCACTGGGAAAGCTTCTGGGAACTTAGTGAACTACAATAACTACCCTCCCCAAGTGGAAATCCCCAAACAGAAGCCAAAAAATGATTATAGAGACGATGATGACGACGATGATGACATTGAGGGACCACTACCAAACCGGCCACTTACAGACCTGGAGATCGGGATGTATGCATTACTGGGAGTCTTCTGCTTGGCTATCATAGTATTTATGGTAAATTGTGTATCATACTTGGTTAAATTTAGGCACAAGCAGACGCCTGGTCAAGTTTCTGAGCAGACTGGTCACCGGCATGATTGGGTATGGCTGGGAACAGATGCTGAGCTGGTTATGAACGTCACTGGAAGCCCGTTACAGCAGGACGCTCATAATACATCTGTGATCGACATAGGACCCAATACAGAGCCTTGTGGTACTCTCAACCGAAGGACCTCTTGCCAGGTGTCTTCTGTATCAAATGACTCTAATGTTTTGTGTGTAGGTTCCCCTACAGCAAAACCAGTCCGAAGTGAATCCCTACACTCACCCACTAGTAAGAGGAAAAGGGTCCAGTTCACCACCTTCACATCCTTGGATCGGCAGACTCCTCCCAAAATGTTACAACAAGAGAATGGACATGGAATTAACTGGGTGGGAAAGGAGGACAGCTGTATGACACCTGTGGTGCCAGCTGCTGAGTCTTTGCAACAGCTTTGATTGTTGGCTCACATGCAGCCTAATTTATGCACCCATAATGTATATCTCTATACCAGGGCTGGGCAACTCTGGTCCACTGTCCAGCAGAGTTTAGCGCCAACCTATGGTCACCTGAATGCCTTTTTTCTTTAGAAAAGTCGTACTGTTGGTCTGTGCTACACAGGGTTATGATCAGTACAGTTCCATTGCTTTCATAAGGTGTGACAGGTGTGACATTTTCTTTGTGATTAGACTTTGTGAAAGATTGATTCTGCCTTGATTACTAATCATGATAAAAAGGAGAGAACACAATCCCCCCCCCCAAAAAAAACACCTTGAAGTTATCAGCTAAGCTCATTTTTTGTCTTTCTTAATGAGTTTTTCATTGGGGAATTTAAAGAATTAAGAGAATAAATTGTCATTCTTTCTCTAGAGCCAAACTCTGAGATAATGCTACATTACACTTGTGTTTGACTGTTACTCTGCATCCTTCCATTTTTTTATACAAAAGTGCATGTGATTATTGTACAGATAAAAGTTCACTTTGAAGATATTTTACCACCCTGCATTTATACGTACATTCAATTGTTTAATTTTCCATTAAAAAGTCACACGATAAAGCCACGTTCAGTGCTTTGTGCTATATGAAATAAAAACCATTTCATTGTAATTGAATGGTGGTTTTTATCTTTTGTAATCTGTTATCTTTCAGTACTCAAATATAAAGCACTGTTGGCGTGTCCCAGGTTTTCATATTGGTAAAAACATTTGTGGTAACCAGGTGTGGAGGTAATTGAAAATAACCATTTCATTGTAATTGAATGGTGGTTTTTATCTTTTGTAATCTGTTATCTTTCAGTACTCAAATATAAAGCACTGTTGGCGTGTCCCAGGTTTTCATATTGGTAAAAACATTTGTGGTAACTCCAGGTGTGGAGGTAATTGAAAATAGTAGTAAAAACGTCTCTAGGTTACGTATGAAACCATGGTTCCCCGAGGGAACGAGACGCTGTTCCCAAAGCGACTTCGACGCAGCTCGAGTTCCTGAAGGGGAACCTATTTTACATTTTCTGAAGAAAATGAGTGGCACTTACCCATACAAAACTCCACATAACCGCAAAGTTGGAGTTGGACAATTTTCTCACAATGTAACAATATTCTTCACAATGTAACAATATTCTGGTGCAAACATATGGCTGAGACCACACACAGGCCAAAAATGTCAATGAGTTCAGAGCACCACTAATGTATATATTTTACTGTACCTCTATAGATGAACTGAAATTCAACAGAAGTTTGTATACAAGTGTTTACAGTATATTTTATTGTGCCATGAAAGTAAAAGAAATGTAGATACAATCATAGAAAGTCGTGGTTTAAGATTTGAGACATACAGTCTTAGTTACAAACAGAATAAATATTTTATGTTTAGCAAAACCTCTAAACACAAACCTTAATCCCTGAACAAAGTAACTTTCATGAATAAATTTAAATTCCTCCGAAGAATAAATGTGTCCTTTAAAAACAATCTTGTGTTTCATTTCTTGTACAGAGAGCATCACTGTTCTTCATCTGGGCTTAAGAGAAAAACCAGTTTGGCAGCTGAATCAGCTTATGACAAACAGAGAATTGTCTTTGGAGTTTATTAAGCCTGTAAATCTTGGCCTTGACACAGTTTAACATTTTTAAAACAAAATTTTACTACATTAAAAGCAGGATGTAATTTGTTCCAAACAAGCTAAATGTAACACCTCTGAAACTGGAGCCGGCATCTATTTGAGTGGATTTCCCACCTCATACCTTACATTTGTTGAGTAAAATCAAATATAGTACATTTTAGACATTTTTAGTTAATCGTATGTCTTGCCTGTCATGTCATATCACATATGCACACATGAACACAAGCTGTCTGTTCAGTTCAAGCTGAGATCCTCCTAAGACTAGGAAACTTTCTTGCTAGCAAAGTAATGTCAACATTCTTCAACCCAGAAAACTCACAACCACTGTGGTAACACTGGCACTTTTATACCCAATCTTCACTACAAACAAGCAACACAACAAAAGTAGAACTCAAACACTTGCAAACATGCAGCTGTCTGTGCACACAGCAAGAGCTTGGCCTTGTGCAGTGTCGAATGAATGTCAGGTACACGCTTCTAGATAAATTACTACCCCTCAAAAAAGAAAAACTGCCAGATCGGTCACCTGCCCTTGTTCCAAGGCCTGATAAATTGTAATTTAAACACTCACTAAATGTATAGTAAAATGTATGTCCCTTTTATACCTGGTGAAACAAAAGAAGTCAACGTCCTATAAATATATCTTTCCTGTTTATCCTACTTTAGAGACAAATGGCCACCATTATCGTGGCAGTCATGGGAGAGGCTTGCATATCCAACTGAAATGCAGTCAAAAGCTCTAGAAAGAGCACAAAGCTCTTAAAGTTAAAGTTCTTAAAGACCTGAGACACATGTTAGTCCCATCAAACTGTCAGTGAAGAGTCTCCACCAGTTTCTGATAGGCTATTCTCTCCTTCATCGGGTTGTGGCAAGTTGTAATGTAATTCTTTCCGTTTCTCACCAGTCTTTCCTGGAGCTCATGGTCATCCAGAAGTTTTCTGGACATGCTTACAAATTCCTGTAGATACAAGAACATTGAGATTCTTGTTAACGCTTCACATGTCTTTTTTCTTTTCTTTTCTGTTATCCATGAAATATCCATGAATTTATCTATTTTCAAAACGTTTATTTGATGTTTCTATACACAAACACACAACCTTTCAAAACTTTTGGGTCATTAAGATTTTTTTTTTTAAAGAAATGAATACTTGGTAGTAAGCAAGGATACATTAAGTTGAAGTGACAGTAAAGACTTTGAAAAAATAAATGCTGTTCTTTTGAACTTTTTATTTATCAAAGAATGATTATAAAGTCTGTGTGCTACACTACATTCTTTATTATTAAACGAAGTAATTAGAATAACGTCAGTCTACATTAATCAACACATTCTTGATATTTTGAGCACTCAGTTGAAAATGTACACATAACGTATCAATCGTACTAACGTATTTGTTAGTCCAAATAAAGAAGATTAGAAGCCAATGAAGATAATTGCAAAAGAGATATTTTTCAAAAACCCATATGACCTGCTCTTTAAGCATTAATAAGGCTCTTTGTTCTACAATATAGAGTCCAGTCTTAAACCTCTCAATTAGCTACTTAAAAGGCAGAGGTCAAGGCTTAGCACAGCACACAGATGTGACTCATGCTGGACACGGCTAAACAAATCTTTGGCACTAGAAGTCACAGAAGAAAAATGCTTCTAGGTTAATTAAGTAAGTGACAGAAGAAAGTGTGACAGTTATTTGGAAATTCTGACTGATTTTCTTTTCTTAAATCTGACTTTTCAAACTATAAGTTATATGTGGCCAGATCGAGGGATTTAAAAAAAAAAAATTTTGCAGTAGTTTGCTAGTGTGTCCACACTGGTTATCATAATAACAATAAATGTGCACAGGTTAACTGTGCAAGAGGCTGTATCATTGATTCACCATGATGTTTTTCATTAGGCCAGTATCCAAATCTGAACAGCATAAAAAACTGGAAGCTGGCGTATGCAATGTTTTAAAGCAGTTTTATTGCTGCAATACCTGACACAACACACAAACACATGACCAAAAAAAAAAAAAAAAGTTTAGTTTAAACCACCTATAAAGCCCTACCAGGCTGCAGTCAGATTTAATGTGGGCTTTTTTCTGTTCAGACAACAAAAACTAAATGGAGTAAATGGTCACATAGGCCAAATAAAAAAAGGAGTCTAAGGCTAAGGCCCATAAAAAAGTTTAAATATACAATGCCTTTAGAATGTTTGGGGTCAGTAAATTTTTTATTTGTATTCTTTTGGGAAAGAAACTGATATAGTATAATAGTATCACGGTTTCCGCAAAAATATAAAGGAGAACAACTGAACAACAAATGTTTCTTGGGCAGCAAAATGATTTCTGGAGGATCATTTGACACTGAAGACTGGAGTAATGATAGTGAAAATTCAGCTCTGCATAACAGAAATAAATTACAATTTAAAATATATTCAAATAGCAAACAGTTATTTTAAAATGTAAAATATTTCACAATATTACTGTAATGTATATTTTATTTTCAAATAAATGCAGCTTTGGTGAGCATAAGAGATGTCTTACAAAAACATTTTAAAAATCTCACCAACCTCAAAACTTTTGAACAGTAGTGTATGTTGACATTTCTTCTACTGTAAATTTGATTTGTGTGAAAAATAATCACTGGGTTACATCACTGTGTCATATAATGGGACAATAGCAAGCACATTTTACTGCGTACTGCATAGCAGGTGGGTTGAACTGCAGCACACTGACCTACTGATCAAGAGAGGCTTGCACACAGCTCTTTGAATTAGGGGTCAAAGCTTAGCATACGTCACAGGTGTATAGAGGGGCACATGGTGCATCCAAATGTTCAAAATCATTCATGACTTGCAAACAAACATTACACTTTCATATACAATTTTCTGTGCTTCTCTAGAGACGTCAGATTTTCAGATCGGCTATTGCTTTTAATACATTTGAGATAAGCATGATAAATGGATGTTTGGAAATTGCTCAGAGGAGCAGATTGGTTCAGGGATAGAAGTTTTGCCCTTTGACATTTTAAGCTGCCTTGGGCTCCTCTCAGGCATTTAGCACGGCGGTACAATGAACGCTTAAGTCAGCCTGTTCCTCCTAAAGACCCAAAAATAAGTTAAAGTCAAAGCTTAGTCACCAGCAGGTAGAGATGTTGCTAAGAAGAGACAGTCAACATTACTCTCCCTTTTACAGCAGCGTTTTAATGGCAAAAAAGATTTTGAGGAAAAAAAGTTGTAAAATTGCAAGTTTAAAGTAGAAATGTTTTGTAAAAGTCAAAATTATAAGAATAAGTATGTAATATTATGTATACATTCAAAACATTTACTCACTCTCTATAATTCCAAACCTGTATGACTTTCTTTCTTCTCACATATTCAAGTGTTCTGCACTCTTATGATATCTTTTTGTGACGAACAGATTTCTTACCGATAATCTTAGTATAATTCAGTCACAGCTGAAATCTCATTCACGTTTGTAAATGCAGTGCATGAAAATGACTTCAGGTCACTTCAGGTTTAACATCAATGATAGCAAACATTATAGAGCACAACAGTCGGCTTCAGGAAGTAAAGACATTTTCTCTATATGGAAAATTATTTTTAACAACAACTGGTAAACCTTTAAAGACAGACCAGTTCTGAGCTCTGAGGTTGCTTTTGTTGAACCCATCTGTTTGCATTAATTCAACTTATTTTTATAACAGAATCCGTAGTGGGAAAACTACATTACCCATGATGCTGTACATAAAATTCCACCACTCAGTCCGCCCACTCCCATAAAGAATGATGAAACTGAGTCTGTCTCCCTACACTCTCAAAATATGTACAGTAAATATTTGTGCATATACTATACTATATTTTTTCCATTGTTTTTAATTCGATTAATGCCATTCATGGGATTGCAGTTCCTTCCCTCACTAAAGCCGTTAAATACACAGCCTTGTACTTTTGTCATTTTGTCCAATTTTCATTTACTTCTTTGCTTTAAGTAAAAGTCTAATGTTAATTCTAGGGATGTAACGATTCACTCAACTCACGATTCGTTCTAAAGACAGTAAGTTCCCCTCAGACATGCATTCATATAAACTCCTACACCTAAATGAATCGGATTTGTTTAGCATCTCAACCGATTTGAATCGTCACATATTTGAATCGATTTTCAACCGGCTCGCAGTTAATCGTTATATCCCTAGTTAATTCTCCTGGTAGCTGGTTGGTTTGGTTCATGGCTTTTAACTTTTTTAAAATCTCTTCATATAAATGGGAAAAATACTTCTGGAACCGGTGACTCTGAAAAAGTGGGCGGGCACTAATGCACTCTATTGGTTATTGTGTATCTTGTTGTAACCAATCACAACACCGCAAATTTGAATATGAGCATCATAAAATTACACTAATGTGATTTGAGATCTTTAGCAGAGGGAAAGATTTCAATGTGGTTCTTCAATGTGTGTGTGGTTGTGGGTGTGTGTGTTTTTTAATCTAAGTCTTCAGAATACTTGGAATGTGTCATAGAGATTACTTTGATACATTTACATATTATCACAGTTCACTTACATTCTATGACTGTAAGTGAACTTACACCATGCTCTTGTTTAACCACCTTATTTATATAGAGACTTTGCTTTTTTTTTGTCCTATTTGCTCTTAACATGGATTAAAGACATTAAAATACAAATGTAAAATACAAAAGGTATACATAAATGTCTCCATGGAAAACAAAAACGAAAACATCAACTGTGATATGATTTCACTGCATTAAAATGAAGCTCTCACTGATAATCCAAACCTTTGTAAATCTTACCTGAGGGCTTGAGTACAGCAGTCCTGTGACCTCATGCTTGACTATTGCAGCATTTCCAGGAACATCCCTCGCTAAAACAGGCAAACCTAAATCCATGGCCTAAAACACACCAGATTGCAATACATTAACTCTGTTTGGCCTTGTGCACAATGCATCTACATTTATTCATTTTCCAGGTGCTATTATCTGAAACAACTTAAGGGCATTCAAGGTATTTTATCAGTATATGCGTTTCCTGAGATTGAACCCATTACTGTGACATTGTGCATGCGATTTCAGCTACAAGAACGTTCACTGCAACCTAGCAATCAAGCATTATGGGATAGCTGATTGCACTTAGAAAGCTCTTCCTTTTCAGTTTTAAATTCTTGTAAATTACAACAACCTTCAATTCTGTCATATTGGCCATTTCAATCTAGGCTTGTTCACACATGTAGGATAATGAAAAGATGTGGAACTATTGAGGAAAACATGATAACAGCTACTTAGCACATTAATGGCACTATGTGTTAAACTAATCTGGTCAGTTTGAACACAGATTAACTAGATCCCCATGATGATATTGTGCTCATAATATCCTATCTAATAACAGGCTAAACAATCACAGATTCAAAGCTCATTTAAGCGATTTCTGCACTACTGGTGAGAACAAATTAAATACCAAAAAATGATTGATTCAGACAGGTTTCTCTTGGACAAACCAAATTCTAAGACATTCTGAAATTAATATTAATGTTAATATTAACATTTCACTCAAATTGTTATAAATTGTCTCATAAAACAAATTCAATAAAATTATTGCTCTCTAAACGAACCTCTAAGATGGCAGCAGACATTCCCTCTGAGAGAGACGAGTTGACCAGGGCAAATGATTTCTGCATGGCAGCATGCAGCTCCTCCTGACTCAAATCGGCCGCCAGATACACTCCAACAGACCTACACACAACCTCATACATGAATTACAATATATCCAGGAACAGTTTACGAATGAGGGTATTTCCTTATTTTAAAAGGGGAATTTAAAAAACACTGAAAAGATTACCGACAGAAATATTTCAAAAAGCACATGAATGTTCCTGTGCGTATGTGTGGAACTTTAGTGGCAGTAATAAGGAACTGAGACTTTGAAGATCAAGTGTCAGAGAGTGAAGAAGGGAGATGAAAGTAAAGCAGAGCAGATCAAGGAAGGAAGATGAAGACGTCAGATGATATTTACCTTTTGACACTCTCCTCAACCTGTGCGGTAAACACTGGATCTATCTAAAATGAGACATGAGACTTTTAAAGGCAAATAATGTTTTTCATTAAGACCCCAAATGCAAGACTACTTTATTTGGTAAGTTTTACAGAAAGCCTACAAAAAAGTTTTTAAATATCATTCAGCTTTAAATAAAATAAATTACAATTAAAAACAAAACACAAATCAAAAAGGTCTCCAAGCAATATTAAATGTTTATGTTTCGAGAAATATTTTTGAATAGAAATAGACCCACAATTTGGAAACCAACATTTACCATCAACAATCCAACATTTTTATTATACATTATTATTATTGCTAATAATAATAATTATTATTATTATCATTCATATTATATGTTTACAATCAGTAGTCTAGTGGTCATAAAAACAAAAAAAAAGGTCTGTCTCTAATTTAGAACACCTTGTCAATTTTTATTCATTTATGAAAATACTAAATGCAATGCTGAGTATAACTTGCCAATACTGCTTAAGTAACAACAGACACACAGTCCTAAGACTGCAGCAACACTGCAAATAAGTTTAAATTCACATTTTTTCACACAAGACTCACGGGCCATGTGCTGTAAAAGAGACATGAAAAGTAACTTAAGGTCACGCTGTGATGAGAAATTAGATGAATATCCTTTCGTTATTATGCAGAAGTTCCAATGGCTTATCTTTGCTTATAAGCAATAAAGAGCACAAATCCCATGTTGCTGTTTTTTTCTTCCCTTTTGCTCTTTTTCCCCTGCCTGTAAAATACTGTCAATAATACCAAATCATGGCCTGTGTACAAGACAACGTTTCATACTGATCATAATTTCCTACATGGCCAGTTGCCCTGAGGGAAAATCGCATTTGAAAATCCCATAGATTTCCAGAGATTAAAGTCAGGGCGGGGTTGTTGCTCGGTCTGATTCATTACGATGAGGGCTTTGCGTGTATTAGCTGGCCGGGGCGGCTGCAGCAACCACAGCACATGCAATCTGGGTCAAAGATGATATGAGTGTGTGAGCATAGCAGAGCCTTTCTACAAATCCTGTTTGCTTTGATTCCACTATCTGCCTATTCATTTTTTTTTTCTAAGTGAAATGTGATATTTGATGCACATTTGAATCTAATAGAGATAGAAAAATTTGAGATTACTGCTGAAACTAAAGCTGCTGGCTAAGAACATATCGTGTGATCAGTCCTTCCCACAGGACATGCTGTTCAATCCCACCCCAAAAGAGCACAGTATATAAGGTTAAGAAATATATCCAAGAGCAATTTAGCAAAGAATAAAGCCATTAAATTATCGTTATATTAGATTTTCAACACAAAAAAAAAGAAAAAAAAAAGAAAAAAGGTCAATGGCTATGTATAGTTTTACATTACAGAAAACAAGTCCCTAAAAAAAGTCAGCAAACCTTTGTCCTCTCATCAATTTTAACAGAACACATATAAAAGTCAGTATACTTAAAAAAAAATAGCATTCAAATTACAAATGAAAAATGCTTGGAAGTTACAAATTACAAATGAAAAATGCTAGGAATGGTTCAAATGCATAAAGGAAGGATGGAACCACAGGTGTGGGAAACTGGTTCATGTTTTGGTGCTCATATTGCACAAAAGTTTTGGCTGTTAGGAGAATTTCAGAAAAGATTGATATGTGTTGTGTTTCCACTCAGTGGAAGCAGGGAAAAACAGATGGAAAGAAAAAATGGCAGTATGAGAAATAATGTCATTGAAAACAAAAACAAGTACTAACGACTGACTAATAGCTTTTACAGATATGCATACCTTTTACATGGTAATAATAATAAATAATAATCATAATGCATATTATGTTTTCAGTGTTCTTGCATAAAAAATGCAAAAGTGATAAATTAGAAGTTAAAAATGCTGTCAATATTGGTTATCTAACACTTAAATATGAAAATAACCAGTATTGGCAGCTTGTTGTATTAAAAAGTTAGCATACCTGTGTCCTTTTATCAATGTTAACAAGAAGTTCACATCTTGAATCACACATGAGAATCACAATGAGAAACTCAATAAAATTTGATCACCAATAAAGACCAATTTAAAGTATTAGTTGTCATTAATCAGAAGCACCTATAAACAAATAATTAAAGGGGGAAGTTTCAACATATGTTGGGAATGCAGCTTTAAATATTATTTTCCAATCAAACCAAAAGTAGGCAGAAAAGAAACACAAGACATCTGGGATTCATTTGATGCCATCAACATGAGCCCGCCCCTCCCCAAAGAAACAATGAGTCTTACCATTCTCCGAATCACAATGAGAAACTCAATAAAATTTGATCACCAATAAAGACCAATTTAAAGTATTAGTTGTCATTAATCAGAAGCACCTATAAACAAATAATTAAAGGGGGAAGTTTCAACATATGTTGGGAATGCAGCTTTAAATATTATTTTCCAATCAAACCAAAAGTAGGCAGAAAAGAAACACAAGACATCTGGGATTCATTTGATGTCATCAACATGAGCCCGCCCCTCCCCAAAGAAACAATGAGTCTTACCATTCTCCAGATATTCTTATCAAACAAAAACACACCACAGCTTACAAGAACATGTAAGCAACTGCCAGTGTCATCGGTTTGCCTGGAGCCAACCACACTCGAACAAGAAAACCTTTGAACATCACTGGAGACGCAACCAGACAAGAAAAAGGCAAGTTTCAGCACATTTTAGGAATGCAGCTTTAAATGGTATTTTCAAATCAAACCAAAAGGAGGCAGAAAAGAAACACAAGACATCTGGGATTCATTTGATGCCATCAACATGAGCCCGCCCCTCCCCAAAGAAACAATGAGTCTTACCACTCTCCAGATATTCTTATCAAACAAAAACACGCCACAGCTTACAAGAACATGTAAGCAACTGCCAGTGTCATCGGTTTGCCTGGAGCCAACCACACTCGAACAAGAAAACCTTTGAACATCACTGGAGACGCAACCAGACAAGAAAAAGGAAAATGTGTCTCCACCTGATGTGTGAATCTCAAAGAAACATCACAGAACAAAAGTCAGTTTGTGGCAGAAGGAAGCATCATGTCGTTGTGGCGAAATCGCTGGGGCTTGAGAAGAGGTGGCTGCGGAAATAGGACACATTGAAACCCTCAAGGTACTGAAGTTCAGGATGAAATGAAGGAACAGTGAAGCCACTATGAGTTAGTCGACAGGATCTGTTGTCAGGTGCTGGGTCGGATTGGGTGGGAAATGCATAAAGAAAGGATGGAGCTAATGGTGTGGGGAATTGGTTTATATTTTGGTGCTCATATTATGAAAAAAAAGTGGTTGTTTGGAGAATTTCAGACAATAATTTTACATGTTGTATGTTTCCACTCAGTGGAAAAAGAAAATATTTAGAGGGAAAAAAGGAAAGGAAGAAAAAGTTTCTTTAAAACAAACTTGGGTATTTGTTATAGAAAAACATACCAGAGACTCATTTATAAATAGTAACTACCCCTTTAATAACTGAAAAAAAAAAAAACATTTCAAAGAGTTTGCATCTAAAAGAGGCGTATCTAAAATCGCATGCTGTCTGAGGAAGAAACTTTGCAACCATTAAAAAGTACATTCTAGTATGAATGTTTGTCGTATAAATATCAGTGATTTCTAACAGGATTAGTTTCCAAGAAACTAAAGTATTTCCAAGATTTAGCCTGGTTTCCTGTTTGCCATTAGCGCCATCATCTTTCCTGCATTGTTACTTCCCAAAATGCTGAGACTTGAAAATTAATTTGCTAACTTTGGTGTGGCTTGGTCTGACAATCATCTAGACCCAACTATAAAAACTGGACAAAATTAGGGAAAAAACTATTTGTGTTGAAATCAAAGATGGTAACAAATCTGGTAGGCAAAGATTCAGAAATTCAAAACTTTACTGAACGTTGCATGAGACAAGAAACATCTAGACCAAAGAATTTAAAAAGAAACAAACTAAATTTGAGCAGTTTGTGGTGCTACAGAGTTTGATTGACAGGTCTTAAAGGGGTCATATGACATAGAAGACCAAACAAAGTAGTTTCGCTTTCACAATGAAACACACAGCGTCTCAATACTACAACGAGAATCAAAGTTATGCCTTCTTTCTTTGCGTATACATTTGGGCGGTGTTATGCAAATCTTCCCACATCGTGACGTAGACATGTGGGGGCGTGTTTGAACGAGGCGTTTTAGGAGGGCGTGGACGAGTCTTAACTTTTATAAAGAATATCTCTTTGGGTTTGAGACTTTAGTCTTTGCAGCTTTAGGGATCTTATCTATTCACGAACAGCTTGTAACACTCCAAAGAGAAAGGAAAACTTGAAATGGCATCATATGACCCCTTTAAAGATGGTCACGTGACTATCTATGGTCAGAAAAATTGTATTTAAGAGTTGAACGCACATGAAAGCCACCAGAAGGTCATAACTATGATTGGGAAACTCTTGATTTTTAGAGACTGTTTCTGGGTCATTGTTACTGAAAAAGCATGGCAAAAGCAATGAATGCAGTCTGTTTTGAGAGTTTTTTTAAATGAATTATATTTTCTCCCATTTATAATAAAATTAGATAGACTGAATGAACAAAATATTATATTATTCTACAATTATGAGAAAACCACAAAAGAATTCAGTTTAAAACACCTTCATGAATTTAATAAAAACAAGATGAAACACACCTGATGCACATATTTCATCATAATGTAGAAATCCAAAGTTCTGGCATGAAACTCTAGATGGTGCAGTCCAATAGGTCAAACTCAGGCCCTGTCCCAAATGGAACACTTCATGTGCACTTGCGGTCTTACGGACTTACAATGGCCGCCGCGTGCGCGTGTCCGTGTCCGTTAAGTCCACGAGACCGCAGGGTGTCCCATTTGTCATTTTAGCGTTCAGAAGGGTGCTCGCGAGCATTACCATGCCGTTATGCGCCCTCGATCCGCACTTCTGCTGAGCCCGCACTGGGGCGAGCTCCGCAGCAGACTTCTACCCAACAGTCAAAGCGGCATTACGTCACGAAAGTGCG